TTTATGTTCCAAATTGGATTATTAAACAATAAATCATCAGATTCTTCCAATAAATATTACCAATCAAGTATTCTATAAATTATTTTGAAGTGAAGAATTGTAAATATTCTCCCATACTAACATGCTATTTTAAGTTTAGGCATAACATTTTTGAATACTTCTGAAGATTTCAGATTTAGTTCATATTTTTTTGTCAGTGTTTTGTGTTCATATTTTTGTGTTCGATTTTATTAAATGTTATTTATTTAAATTTTATATAATATTTTAATACTAAATTTTAATAATTTAAAACTAAATAATTTTAAACACTAAATTTTCCTCATATATTTCTATATTTTGTAAAAAGTATTTAGGACAGCAATCCAATCAAATGATGAATAAGCTTCAATAAAAACAAAATAATTTTCTCGATTCTTTCTCCCCCTCCCCCATTTTTTATTGAAGACATTCTTTTATGTTTAGAAGTACCATTGAATAACGTTGTTAATTTCATCCAAAATTAGATTCGCTACTTTCTTCAAAGACTTCATAATAAAAATTAAAAAAAAAAAAACAAAACATGTATATTATTTCCTATGTAAAATAAACACTTCTCCATTATTTTAATGGTAGTATTTTAAATGAAAAGGATGCTGTAGTGTGGAGGGTGGGCAAACAAGTTAATATGGTTGTGGTTGGGTTTCGGATACTTGAAGCATAAGTTGGAGAACTCATAGCTTTATTTAAATACGCGCAAACATCACACACATGCAATAGGGACATACAATCTGTAACACATTTAAAGACATATAGTTAATTAAAAATTCGTGGAAAGATTTCACTTCTAAGCCGGAAACTCGGATACTCAGGTAATGGAAGCTCGTAATATAATTCCTCTCCTGGTGAGTGTCTGTAGGTCACCTGTTACAGGGGTTAGTTTAAATACCTTTGCTCTTTGGGGTGAGATACTGTAAATTAAACGCTTTTCAACAGTAGCGCGTGATTGCACAGTACTTCCCTCTCGGGTGAGAGTCTGAGGCGTGCTTACCATTTCACCTGAATGCCACATGGGATGCTCTTGCCATTGTGTAGGAAGAAGCACAGTTACAATACAATGATAAATTTCGTAATAAATTTGATAAAGATTGAACAGGCACTCAGAGCACTTTTACAAAAAAAATTTCTTTTGTTTTTTCCAAAATTCTAGGAATTAATATTAAAATTATATGTTAATGAGACCATTCAATTGTTTCCAGCAATCATGTGACCACCGGTACAGACATTTACTTTTAGCATCATATCAAGTAAGTGTTGGGAGGTTTTCTCTGTCCGTCTCTTGGATCAGTGGTAAAGTGCTCCGCTGGTGAACATTAGGCGGGATTCAATCCACTGGCGGCTTTGTTGTAGACACTATTTCATTATAATCTTCTCACGTTAGTCATACTACTTGACGGTATTCGTGTTTTCTCCCCACTATATACGCACACGCGGGGTAGTTCCCGTAAAAGTCCTTTGGGTAGGTACTGGACATCCATAAAAAGTCTTTTTCAAAATCTAAGGAACTTGATAGAGATTTAGACAAAGTGTATAAGTGTCTGGTATCGACAGTCACGCCTGATGGGTGTCTTTCAGATTTTCTCTTTTACGACACGCAAATGCAAGTCACTTCCTTTTAAAAATTCATAAACACTAAGCCTTTCAGTTCACCATTGCTGATCAATTTGCAAACTGAATTTATCCTGTACTTATATAACTCGGAAGCTATAGACCCTATTTCAAATGACAAGCGAAATGAACTCTTAAAATTGCTCCTTTTGTTATAAAAAAATTTGAAATTTAAAAATAAAAAAACGGCTTTCTTTTCAAATAAAATAAATAACTTTTCAATATACCGTGCACTTTAGCATCTCTCCATATTGCTAATACATTTATTTAATGCACAATAAGGAAGTTACTTTTCCACTAACAATTTTAATTGTGAATGTAAGTGCATTGAGAATAAAAAATAATTATTTTCGGAACTTTAAGGTGTTCATATTTTTGTTTAGATAACAGTTCTTTTTGCTATAAAAAAATGGGTTGTTTTTATTTAAATCAATAACTTTTTAAAAAAAATTAAATTTGGTCTGATTTTGATGAAATTCATTACTACTGTAAGAATATGAAATGTAGTACATTCTAAAAATGTAAATTTAAAATTAATTAAATCAATAGCAATTAAATAAATTACTTAAAGGGAAAAAAAATAGAAAAAAAAATCATTTAAATGAAATCGCCTTGCCAATAGGGGGCGGTAAAGGCGAATTAAAAAGAATTCACCCATTACTGATTAAGGAAAAGTTTCTCTTTATAGGGAAAAACCTCTATCTATTTATTTATCTATCTATATAAATAAATAACAAAAAAAAGAAGAGATGTACTGCATAGTAAAAATTATAAATGCTTAAAGAAAATTAGACTGCTTAAAGAAATTGTATTTGTTTATATTTTAAATTACCACTATACATTCACGTCAGAATGGCCGGGCGGTCTAAGGCGCCAGATTTAAGCTCTGGTTCTAGAGAGCGTGGGTTCGAACCCCATACGACATTCCTATATTTGCACTTTCTTTTATTGGTTTCTCGGATATATATTTTTTGATATTACTATGTTTTTTATTCTTTTGTTGGGTATTATTAGCATATTATCTTGCATTCGTTAAAAAATTCTTGCTTACATGAATAATTTGGTAATTAAAAAAAATTGTCTTTAAAATGTATAACAAAAAACAAATGCAGATTTTTTTATGCTATTTAAATAATATTTTAATCAGAGAGAAATATACACAATGTTAATAATAAATAATAAATAATTCAAACTAATTTAATTAGTATCGAACTGACTGCTACTCTTAACCTCAAAGCATTATAATGTTATAGTTCAAATATTTTTGAAAATAGTTAGGATATTTTTGATCTGAAAAGTAGAAACGACTGATTAAACCAAATTCAGATAGAGTCTCGTAACAACTATTATTTATAAGCTCATAGAAGAAAATGAAAAGTATAGTTAAAATTATTTTCTACTGCGCATGCGTAAGTTGATGACGTTGAAAGTCGATTTGCAAAAATGCATTCACGTTAAAAAAATATTAAATCAAGAATAAATTATTTGAATTAAATAACAATCAATCAATTTAATTATAAAAATTAAATATATAAACAAAACGAAAAAAATATGTTGAATAAAATTTGAATAAGATCAAATACAAATCTGTTCTGTCAGTTTTATTTTGTCATTCAATTCCTTATAAAAAAATTCAGTTCTCATTTTACAAAAAAAAGAACAAATTAGAATTCTTTCTAAAATTTTTGTTTCTGTTAAATGTAATAAATTCAAATAAAAAAAATCATATCGTTATAATTTTTTTATCAAAATTTTAAAAATTAGTTTAATTAATTTAATTGTAATTTTAATTAATCTTAATATTTTAATTTTTAAAAATAGTTATTCATTTTTGGTAATGAATTTTTTCTATTGTTAATTAATAAAAACTTTACTTTTTAACAATTTTTCTCTCCTAAAATTTTCCTTTTCGGTATTTTTCCCCATTCTAAAATTGTGTCACATGTTATATCGCAGATTACTGAAGTTTAAAAATTGCTATGGAACTGTCTCACTTTTGCGATTTATCTTTGGCTGGTTATTCTTCTATAAATGTTTTTGCTGAATTTCACTTAATATCTCATATACAAATGGAAATATATTATGGTATTTTTCATAAAGTAGTTTGCTCAGCTGATTTGGATTAGAATAAAAATATGATGATAAAACATACCTCATAAAAATTGTTCTTTATTTACATGAAAATTTTCTTTCTAAAGTAATAAAAAAAAAACAATTTATAAAAACTAAAGTTAAAAACTAAAACAGACAAAATTTTAATTCGTTCCATACTAGAGATGTTTATAAGTAGGTTTTTTAATTTTATTTACTTGAACTTTTAACTTTTCATTTTCTGTCTTAAAAATTATATGAAGTTTTAAAAAAATTTAAATATTTCCATATGAACGAAATGAACTGAAGCATTTTTCAATATCTTATCTCCAGTATTTTAAAAGATTTAAAAAAAAAAATTTTTTTGCTTCTCTAAAACATAATTCTTTAAAATATGTTTAAATAAGACATGCAAAAATTAAAAGCACGTTTAAATTTTCATCATAGCAGAAATTTTATTCATAGATATCAATCTTTAAAGATTAACATCGAAGAAACTTGAAGATTATATCAATTTTAATGATTATTTTAATAAATACTATTTTTAATAACATTTCTATAACATAGAACAGTGATTATCAAATTTGATAATTAAAAACAATAATTACATCGTAGCAGTAAACAGTTTATAAAATTACATAATAAATAATTTGCATTATAAAATCTGAGCATTTAATTGCTTTGCTATTTTTTACAGTACTATAATTAAAGTATAATCAATTTGCAGGTTACTTTAAATTTGTAATTTTAAAAATTACATTGAAAAGTGTTTTTATTTCTATGTGTAACCGTGTTTCTCCTACTCACTGGCAAGACCAACCTCAGTGGCTTTCAGGAGGAATGATCAGCTGGATCCCAGACACTCACGCGAGAGGAAGAACAGAACAATCTCGTGCTTCTGTTGAGAATCTCGCGATTCTGTTAGCCATTCACCGGGAGAGGAAGTATATTTATAACTGTATGTCTTTAAATGTTTTAAATATTGCATGTGCGTGGTGTTTGTAATTACGTAAATAAAGCTGTGAGTTCTCCAAATTGTGCCTCAAGTATCTGAACCAAACCGCATCCAATTACAGTCTGGTTTTCCAACTTGCACATTACAGCATGCAGTTCATTTAAAATACTGCTATAAAAAAATTCTATCCCGATTTTATTTTATATACGAAATACATAATTGAAATTTTTTTTTTTAATTATGAAGTTCTGAGGAAATTAGCGAATCTAATTTGGATGAAATTAACAGCGTTATTCAATGGTTCTTCTAAACATAAAAAGAATGCCTAATTAATATAGTCAAACTTTTTTTTTGCTTTGTCCTACCTTTAAAAAAATCTGCTCACAAAAAAGTGTAGCTCCATTTTTAGAGACAAGCACACAAAAACAGACCACTTGGCCAAGATTGATCGTGACTGCTATTCAGGCGCTGAGGACTTGACGTTCCAAAAACCCAGATGCGCAAATGTGTTTACCCAGAGATTGAGGGTGCAGGTCGCTAAAAGCTTCAACTTCACACTTTATACCGATAACGAGTGGCCGTTTTTAAGAGCTGATTTCTTTTTAATGACCTGTCGATGTGTGAAAAGTGGGCATTCAGCGAAAGTCACTTGCAGAAAAAGTTTTTCTTTTTTTTATCCCTTTTCAAAATTTTGGTAGCAAAAACTGTAGACAAATTAGAAATAACAAAAAAAAAAAAAAAAGCGAATGATAAAGGTTGCTTTCTGTTAAAGTTACATTGACAAAAGAATTTTACGACTCATTTAGATTGTTAAGTTTTTTTTTTTTAAAATATTTTTGCTGAATAAAGAAAAAGGTTTTTGTTCTGTTTCCAATCAGTCTACTGTTAATTTGGCTGTACTTGAGTACTCTTAACGAAATAAATCGTTAAAAAAATTTTTTTGAACATTAAAATCGTTAAAATTTGCGAGTTGGCATTATAGAAACTAGCACGTGACTAAGATAAATCATAATAAAAAAAAATTAACCCTTTCTTCCTCCGCAATCCACCAAAAAAAAAGACACTTGCTTTGACATATTTTAATGTGTAAATTATGTCAAAGAAAGTGTCTTTTTTGGCGGGGCGGGTGGATTAAAAAATTTTTTTTTTAACTGAAACTGTGCTTTTCTCCTCCACATTAACAAAAGCTCTTAATGTGGAGATCAGAAGAAATGGTCAGTTGAACTCCAGATTCTCTCCCAGAGGCAAGTACAGGAGATGATTGGTTGGCCTACAGACACTCACTAGAGAGGAAGTATATTTTGCGTATCACGCGCCAGTGGGATAATAAGAATAATATTATAATAATAATGATATATAATTTTGCGAACCGCCGATAATAATTTTTTCATACCTGAGTATCGGGATTTCAACTTAGATTGGTTTGGTTTGTCGTTCTACGGTCATCTTCTGCACACGCGACATAGAGGTGGGATCCTATCATTAATCTATATTTATCTGTCTTTAAATGTGTAAAATATTGTATTGTCTCTAACTTGCGTATGGTGTTTGTACGTTGTGTAAATAAAGTCATGTGTTCCCCAGCCTGTGTCTCAAGTATCTCAACCCCAGCTACAACCAATTACAATCTGGTTGCCCAACTTGCATACTATATAAGGAGAAGGCATAATAATTTTTTTCGTTATTTCTTAAAAAAATATTTATTAAGATTACATGAAAGTTTACTTTTTCTTAACCAATGATGAATGAAAACTTAATCATAATTAAAAAAAGCCCCTTGTGCAACCTGTTAGGTATGTATGTTTATTCTCCTTCTCAATTATATGAAATATTTTCGAATCCATCTATATTTTTAACACTGGTAAAACAGAGAAAACTTTTCTGTATTTAACAATTAGAACCAAGAATGAGGTTATTGTTACGTAACATCTAAGAATCAAAAGAAAACCTTTTCGATGAGTATATCTGTTTCCTTCCCAAAAGTTTTTTCATCCGTTGCGCTTCTTTTCCAGTTTGCTCTGTTCTTTCTTTCGATGTACTACAGTAAGAAGAACTACTGAAACACGCACAAAAAAGTGCTTTTCAACTTTTCCGCGGTATGAGAATAACAGAAAAGTAGCGGAATATGGCTGATTGTTAGCCACAGTTCGTCTGCGTGTTCTAACATTGCGAAAAATGTGTGGAAAAAATGTTCTTTCATTCGATGTTTATGTCAATTAGAAAGAAAAGTGGAACACTTTCAGCAAACTGTGCCTTCAAGGTATTCTAGCTCACGATCTCTTATCAAAATTTGATAGAATCTCGAGCAAGCTGATGATTTTTTTCTGGCGATATATTTTTATCTCTGCCTATTGTTTGGAGGTCCTATTAAGAGTAAATCGATCCGATGCTTTATGAAGCCGACTTTTGTGCCCTAAAAGCACTAGAAGGAAGATTAAAGTGAAATATTATTTGGGCAGTAGCGGAAGAAGAGAGTCGAACTTCTTAGTCCTATAAGCTTTGCTTACCCATTTTTTTTGCGATCCTTAAATATATATCTATTGTCAGCAAAGTTTTCATATTAACTTTTGTATGCTTGTAGATAATATCGTAAAAAATGCGTTGTATTAAATGTTTATCTCCTTTATTTATTATTATAGGATTAGGATTAAATACAATTAATTAATATTTACTGAAAAGTAAATTTTTATGCATAAATAAAATTCTTGAATAATTTTACTACTAAGAATTGGAATCCGTGTAAACGTGCTTCCTCCTACACAATGGCAAGAGCGCCTCCAGTGGCGTTCAGGAGAAATGGTCAGTTGGACTCCAAACACTCACCCGAGTGGAAGTACAGGCAAACATGAGCTTGTATTGAGAAATGTTTAGTTTATAA